AAAAAAAAAAAAAAAAAAAAAAAGAAGAGAAGTTTTATTACTCAAAACTCATCACGTTCCTTGTTCCACGAAGAAAATGAATATGGATCACGAGGATACAAAAGGAGACGTAAAGTATAAAGTTTAAGAGTGATAGCTGCGGGGCCCAGTCGACGGTTCCAGGGAATCAGATAATTTTTCGGCCCTTAAAGAGAGCGGACGGAGAGCGCACGGTAGCGATTTATAACGAGTCGGAGAAGGCTGCTACCTCGGTAGCAGATGACATTTATTATAAAGTTTCGGTCCGTGGCGGGACGAGCATCGATCTTCCTTCCTCCCCTTGGAAACTCGTGTTGTTCGTGGGGGCAAGTGGTCGGCAGTGTTGCGTCCGTCCACCGAGGAATACCGAACAGTTTAATAAGCAAGTGGTAGCCGCGATACCGTGATACAAGATACACCGAGTATCATCCATCACGATGCGCTCGCCGCTCGTCATTATGCCCAACGAATATTTTGAACCTGGGTGAAGGTGGATCTCTCCTCTCCTCGCCCTCCGCTCCCTCTTCTTTCCGCCATCTTGCCATCTGTAACGATTATTTATTATATTTTATTATTCCTTTATTCCTCGAACAGTGAAGGATGGATCCTCCTTCTAATCTAATATATGGAATATAATCGAACGAAAAAAAGAGGTTAGAATATTTCCATCGACTTTTTTCCAAAATAAATTATTAATAATCTCCACGTTAGGTTAAACAAATTTTACCGTTTCTGGATCTCCTTACATCTGATTGGAGGGGGAGATGAAGGTTAAAGATGAAATAACGGAAAAAGAGAGAGAGAGAGAGAGAAAAAAAGAGCGAGGCAAAACTGTATCGAGGATAATGAGGGGGTAGTCATGTGCCGGTGATCAAGCTCATTCGCCGGAGAATAACGCATAAGGGGGACTGTTACAGTTGTGTAATATTATTCTCGTGGAAAAGAAAAACATTCTCGAATCATCCGTTTCCATTTATAAAATAATTTCTCGATCTCGAAATAATAACACGGGCGTAGAACTAGGCGTAAGAAATAAGAAGAGTAGAAAAAAGAAAGGAAGGAAGAAAGGAAGAAAGCTTAGAGAAAGAAATTGTCGAGGAAACGATCGAAGAGAGTCTAATGATCTTGGATAACTCCTCCTAAAATTGCACGATCGACGTGCCACGAGGGGTCGTGGTTTTCTCTTCTATCTTTGTGGGTATACTTGAACGATCGAGGAACGGCGCGGAGCCAATAAATTTTTCACGTAACCTGTACCAATAAAATGAGATAGCGGGAGTAGAGAGAGAGAGGGAGGCATCGACGCGATCCTGAAACAACTATACTTATCGAGGATCGTGCCTCGCAGGGTCTGATGGAACCCCGCGTTTTCAGTCCCGCTTCTGTAATTACTATCCTCCTCTCGCGTATATACCCATCGTTCCCTCTTTACTCCGGTTCGTGCCAAAAACGACAACGACTCACCCTTCGGTTTCCTTCGGCCTCCTGCCTCCTCTTCCAATGTCAATGCTTAAATGGAACGTGGAAATAAAATTCTTCGCCTCGAGAACCCAACGCTCTTACGAACAATGCATGCAATGCGACGGATGTATCCATTTCCACCATTAATTTCGTTTGTCTCGTTATTTTCAAAAAAATTTTGGACGATTATTTCGACGGATTCCAACAGCAATTGGAGAAGAGAAAGAATGGTCCATCTCGGTTTTTTATTTAAAATAAAAGTGTTATGGGAAGGAAGATGGATCGGGTATAGGCGATAATTTTGATTTGTTTTTTTATAAAATGATGGGAACGTGCGATCAAACATCGCAGCGTTATTCTTTTTTTATTTTATGTAAAATATAACAAAACTCGTTTTTTCAATTCGAAAATTTCGTGGAGAAACAGGATATGAGAATATTCAAATGAGGGGAATGAAGTAGAAATCGAATATAATCTTAGAATGAATATTAGGTATATACAGTTTTTATTTTTGCAAAATACAACATTGTCAAATAAAAAAAAAAGAAAGTAGCTTGGAACAGCCGTTATTAAAAATTTCAAAAAGAATTTTAGAAAAAAATTTGAGAATTAGATATCGCCTTCATCTTTATAAAATACAATATTGTTTTCACCAAGAGATCCCAATTTCTAAAAAAAGGAAAAAGAAATATATAAACGTAGCTTGTAACAGTGGTCATTAAAAATTTCGAAACACGATTTCAAAAAGAATTTTAGAAAAAATATTTGAGAATCTTGGAAATTATCATCTTTATCTTTCATATAAAATGCAACATCGTTTTCACCAACGACGAATTAAAAAAAACAATTTCAGAAAGAAACAAAGAAGGAAGATAGCGCAGTTTCTCCTCTATTTTTTTTTCATAAAATTACAACAATCCTCCTTAAAAAAATCTTCGAATAAACTTCCACTATCCATTTTTTGGGAAATCCTCGAAGATATCGCAGCTTCTCTCAATTCCAGAAAGAAAGAAAGAAAAAAAAGCAAACGTAAAAAGAAACAAGGAAGGAAGAGAGCTTCTCCTTTTA